TCCAAGGGCCAGCTTGCCTGGGCGCCTCACAGCCACAGGGCACCTAGGAAAGCCAAGGGAAGGCATGGGGTGTGGCCTAATATGCTAATGAGTTTCTGCTGTTGGGTGTGGCCTAATATGCTAATGAGTTCCTTCTGGGCTTTTTCTACAAAAAAAGCCCTGGTTATATGATAATAATGATTATTATTATCAGGCCCGTAGCCAGGATTTCTTAAATCGGGGGGCCTTTAAAAAATTCAGGGGGCACTGAAGCTGCACCCTTCTGAACCCCGTTGACTTCAATGGGTTTCAGTGGGTGTGCGATCGCTTAGAATAGCCCTGTGAATTATCAGCATCAATAAACTGTTTTGCTTTTTGGATCCTGCCTGCCCTCCGCGAGAAATAAGAGCTGTAATCTGCTGGTTTGCAGAGAGGCAGGGGCTTCAAGAGTGGCCCCTCGGGCACTCTGGTGAGGCGGGGAGAAAAGCACAAAAGTTGCCGCCGCGGTGCGGGGCAAACGGAGTCATGTGTTTCCCCATGGTAAAAGATGAGGGGAGTTGGGAAGGGAGAGGGCTGCCACAGGAGGGAATAGAGCCACCTGGAAGTGGAGGGAGGGCCCCTTCCTCCTCCGCTGTTTCCCTTCAGAGGCGGCGCTGCAGGGACCGTCAGGCGGGCACCAAAGGCAGCAAGCGGGGAGAGGGCAGGTGTCTGAAGGTGACTCCGCAGCCCCCACCGCGCCCACTCACCATCCCATCCTGACCGTCCGAACCCAGGCAGGCAGGCAGGCAGGGACGCTCGCTCGCTCTGCCCGGTGTGGGTCAGTGATGTGGCATGGGGAAATGTATGCAATAATGACATGGGGAGAGGAACATATAAATTTTCTTATATGTTGAATGGGGACAACTTTCTTCAAAGCTGCCATTTTTGGCAGCAGTCTCATGTCTACAACCAGAAAACCAAATCCAAACAAGAGAGCTTCCTCCTGGATGTACAGCCTCCAACACAGTGATGCAAACATTCAAATTAAATACATAATTTCTGGTGTCTTTGCTGCATCCCTTATCTATTCTCAAAACATCTGCCACTTGAAAGGGAGTTGAACAAAGTGTGTGACATGACACTGGCAGGCCATTTAGCTTCACATCTGGTGCTTAGTGCCACATGGACTTAGCTAATGCAATTTCCACGCCTGCAGTCTGCGTGCATTAAGGTTTTGAAAAACGAGGATTCTGACAAAGGACTCAGCACAGGTTCAGAAACAATTTAGGTGTGCAATTTAGGTGTGCAATTAAGCCACTTCTGCAGTGTATTTTGAAAAGCTGGAAATCAAACTTGTTCAGTACATCCAGTTAAATTGGGGGTGTTAGATGAAAAATGAACCAATTGTATGATTCATTTAAAAATTAAACAGCACCATGCTTTAAATTGAAGAGTTAATGTCAGAAGGAGTAGTTCTGCTCAAAGATTAACCGATAAGCTAGCAAAGGTGTATTCAGTTTTGGAAAAGTAGCTTTTTTAAAATGTTGATTCATCCCTAGATAATATTTCAATCTTCTATAGGTCAGGTTTAGAATTTCCCTGTTTTCTGTATTACCTGTTCTTTAAAAGCATAAAAACAGCTCTGACATTTAGTACCTGAACAGCTATTTGCAATGTACTCGGCAGATCTCTTAGTTCTCAATGAAAGAAGCAATGAGACACCACCTCCTCTACACAAGAGGATTTAAATACCAAGATTACATCTGATCCCCTGAACATGACCTTTTCACAAGGCAGTTGCACTATAAGAGGTAATTCTACAGTGTGAACTTTAAGAAGTTGACATTGTGGTGAGGAAGTTAGCCATTGGCCAAGAGAAATGTAAGAAATCAAAATGACCAGGTTTAATATGTACACTGGCACATAATGTTGTTTTCAACTGCAGAGAGAAACTGACAGTGTTAGTAGCTGGAAATTCTGTATTGGATTTTCTCACTGAAAAGCCTTACGTCCCTTCATTTAAATTAATGCACTTTTCCTGTATTGAGGTTCTATTCCCACAAAGCAATTTACTGCTGCATTGCAGCTTATTCCATCACTGGAAATGCCATAATCACAGTTGGATGGGTTGACATATAACTTTTTAACATGCACCTTTACCAGTGCGTTGGCTAATGGCTATTGCTTCTGAAGGTGTTCCGAGTTTCTTTACACATGGATTTGGCATCCTAAAACAAAGCCAGATGGAAGTCACACATGCATTGTCAAACCTGGGAATGCTGAGTGTGGTTGGCCACGCCAAAAGGTTTCATTGATTCAGAAACTCAAGACAATTGTGTTTAAAACTGGCTTTCCACTTTGCAAATGTGCACCTCGACTGCATGGCACACATGAATTAATTTGAAGTCATTGTGTTGCATATGCAGTGACAAAAATGAAAGAGAGCATTGGGGAGAGATTACTCACAAAAAACTTCAATTCTTAAAATGTTTAGCCATAACAAACACTCTTAAAATACACTACATCTTCCACAAATAACTTGACCATTCATGTGCATTTAAATCAGGCCTGATGTTGTGGCACTAAGAAATTATGATATGATCAGTGGATGTAGGCACATCTTGGAAATATAATGTGTAAACAGCCACTTGCCTGTTCTTCTAGAAAATGTTCCCCTTTTTGTCGGGGACAGCCTACTCAGTGTTGTTAAAATCGCATGAAATGAAGAGCCAGGATCCTTGTGAGAATACAGCATTAACTGTCATGAATGATAATGGCAAATACGTGCTTGCAAGCAGAGGAGGCTATGTGCTTGTTCTCAGGTTGTATTTCCTGGCTTTGTAAGGTTTATGTCAACTGGGAGTGATACAGTTCAGACGTGGGGGGGGGGTTGCCTTTTCATTTCACAGGGGGTTTGAAAGATGCCATCTAAGTATGTTCGACAGATGATGTGACGTAAATGGCTACTAGATATGATCAAAACTATACAAAATGTAATAGTCATTCTGCAAAGCTACCAAGGAGAGGAAAGACTAAATACAGCAATATTTCTGATGCAGTGTATATAGGACACTTAATAGGACCCCTTGTAAACAATTGAGATTTTTGAGGTTAAATCTTCACAGGTCTGTTTATTTGTTTATTTCTTTGGTTTGTTCCCTGGTGATGCAAGAAGCCATTTCTCTAGGAAAATTTCCATGGAATTTATGTTAAGAAACATTATTGCATAAATACAGTAGCTGACTCTGGGGGGGTGGGGGAGCCCCAGTATTTTAATGTCTTGTCTCACATATGTGTATTTAGTATTTTGCTTTAATAATGGAGATACCAAAAGTGGTGAGCTAGTTCCAGTTTAGAGAGTTATAACTGTAGAAATTATGAAAGACCAAAGAGTTTGTCAAGGGTTTCTTTCTTTCTTCTTCTGTGGTCCAGTCAGGTGGGTCTTGCGTGTTGATCCAAAGCTGAAAATTGATGGTAGTCAGTAGTCCAGTCAGATTTAACATTTCATGATATCTTAACTATGGCTAGGAGATTGGGAGCAGGCTATGGATTAGCATATTCACTTCTTTCCTCTTATTCTTGAATTTCCCCATCTTCTCTCTCGTAACCATGAGATAACCATGGTGCAATTTTAATGACATCTATAGAATAGCTTCAAATCAGTTTGAACCAGGGTTGCAAACACCTGGTTAAAGCTAACTGTTATTAGCATAAAAATTAATGTCTGTGTTTCACTGGACCAAGGGTAGTCTGAAAAGAGAAGTTCACACGAGAGAGAAGAGTGAATGCAAACACCCTATACTAAATGAGTCCATTGGTTCATCAAGGTCAATATTGTCTACTCAGACTGGCAGCAGCAGTCCAGGGTCTCAGAGAGAGGTCTTTAACAGCATCTGGATAAGGGAAACAGGAAGTGAACAGGACCGACATGCTGGAGGGGCTGTGGCTTAGTGGTAGTACATCCGCTTGGAATGCACAAGGTCCTAGGTTCAATCCCAGGTAGTAGGTGATGTTAAAGACCGCTCTCTGAGAACCTGGAGAGCTGCTCTCTCCTGTGAAATCTTATGTTTGTATCAAGCCACTGAGAAAGCAGAACTGATAACTGGTTTTGATCTGTTGTGCCCTACTGATTTTAGGATAGGACTTGCAAAAATGAGTTTAAATTAAGGGCGGGAAGGTAACAGCTGGATATTAGGGAAAACGTTTTTACAGTAAGAGCTGTACAACAGTGGAATCAGCTGCATAGGGAGGTAGTAAGTTCCCCCTCACTGGCCGTCTTTAAGCTGAGCAAACACTTGTAAGGGATGCTCTAGGCTGATCCTGCACTGAGCAGGGGGTTGGACCAGATGGCCTGTATGGCCCCTTCCAACTCTGTGATTCTATGATTCTAAGCCCTCTCTTCTGCCTGGATCGTAAGACTTGATTCATTAGCATGTATTGTAGTCCTAAGCATGCTTCTTGGAGCTGAATATAAAAGTTTATTTAGCCAGATTTTTGAAAAGCAAGTGGAAATGGACAGAATGCTGAATTCCATAAGTAAGTTCGCAAGGAATATGCAACACTATTTTTTTCATGTAAGATCAAGCTTTTTCTTTTAGTTAATGAAAGTTATGTGTTCAAACATGTAATGCAAATATGTTCTTGCATCCAGAATAACTGAATTGGTTGGATACCATCCTGAGGAGCTGCTGGGCCGTTCAGCATACGAGTTCTATCATGCATTGGATTCTGAGAATATGACCAAAAGTCATCAGAACTGTAAGTTACAGGCTAAAGCTGGATTTCTTGGACAGGAACATGAGTTAAGCACTTATCCTGTGGGCAATGTGGATAATTGATTTTAATGACCAAGGTCACTTTACACAAAGAAATTATGGCACAGAGGTAAGCTGCATTGTCACAGCAAGCGGCATATACTGGCCCAGTCACATGGATTATCTCCTAAACCACTGCAGAACTTTCTTAGTGGCCCTGAGACATAATTATGGCAGAGGGCAATCAATGTGCTGCACATGGATGACTTGATGTATGGGTCAGCCACCATGCGGCCACAGTTTCAGATGGCCCTATACAATTTGTTTCTGTGAAATGAGACTTAAGAAGCAAACCACTTTTACCCAGTTGCTGAAAATTGTTACAAATCCTTTTTAAAATATAATTCTATTCTGGTAGCCATCAACGAATAAGAAATTAACATTGTTGGGTATTCCAAAAGACTCTATCTGGTTTTCCAAATGACTGTGGTGTATCCACTTAATCCTTATTCCCAGCTCCATTTGCCCACATTCTTCCTTTTCTCAATTTCTCTCTCATTTTCCTCATTGTCTGTTTTTTGTGATTCTATGATTCTAAGCCCTCTCTTCTGCCTGGATCGTAAGACTTGATTCATTAGCATGTATTGTAGTCCTAAGCATGCTTCTTGGAGCTGAATATAAAAGTTTATTTAGCCAGATTTTTGAAAAGCAAGTGGAAATGGACAGAATGCTGAATTCCATAAGTAAGTTCGCAAGGAATATGCAACACTATTTTTTTCATGTAAGATCAAGCTTTTTCTTTTAGTTAATGAAAGTTATGTGTTCAAACATGTAATGCAAATATGTTCTTGCATCCAGAATAACTGAATTGGTTGGATACCATCCTGAGGAGCTGCTGGGCCGTTCAGCATACGAGTTCTATCATGCATTGGATTCTGAGAATATGACCAAAAGTCATCAGAACTGTAAGTTACAGGCTAAAGCTGGATTTCTTGGACAGGAACATGAGTTAAGCACTTATCCTGTGGGCAATGTGGATAATTGATTTTAATGACCAAGGTCACTTTACACAAAGAAATTATGGCACAGAGGTAAGCTGCATTGTCACAGCAAGCGGCATATACTGGCCCAGTCACATGGATTATCTCCTAAACCACTGCAGAACTTTCTTAGTGGCCCTGAGACATAATTATGGCAGAGGGCAATCAATGTGCTGCACATGGATGACTTGATGTATGGGTCAGCCACCATGCGGCCACAGTTTCAGATGGCCCTATACAATTTGTTTCTGTGAAATGAGACTTAAGAAGCAAACCACTTTTACCCAGTTGCTGAAAATTGTTACAAATCCTTTTTTAAAAATAATTCTATTCTGGTAGCCATCAATGAATACGAAATTATCATTGTTGGGTATTCCAAAAGACTATATCTTGTTTTCCAAATGACTGTGGTTTATCCACTTAATCCTTATTCCCAGCTCCATTTGCCCACATTCTTCCTTTTCGCAATTTCTCTCTCATTTTCCTCATTGTCTGTTTTCAGTAGTACGTTGCTTTGGGGGGATGAGACCCACCTATTTTTGTTTGTGTAACTCTACTAGGAGCTATGTGCCCTGCTGGCCTTGTATAAATAAATAAATAAAGTCCGTATAAGTGAATAATGGGAAATGGTGCTAGGAAAGCATGACTGGAGGACAGAATTTAGAGCCATTTCTCAGTCAGTCTGTTGGATCCTAGAGCCACATGTTGTTGAGAAGATGGGCTTGAGACCCTGGAAAGGGATGGTTACCAGGTATAGCTCTGGGAATTAGTGGGGGCCCCAAAGGATTCTGGCAACCCCAGCACTCACTTGGATGGTGCCTCTTAAGAAGCACTAACATTTTGCAAAGCCATGTATGACAGACCCCTGACTCTCCCCCACTCTGTGGCAGATTTCCCCACCAAAAATTTTATTTATTTATTTATTTAATTGCACACAGTATTCCAAATGAGGTCTCACCATTGATTTATATAGGGGCATTATGATATTGGCTGATCTGTTTACAATACCCTTCCTAATAATCCCCAGCATAGGATTGGCCTTCTTTATTGCAGTCACACACTGTCTCGACATTTTCAGTGAGTTATCTACTACAACTCCAAGATCTCTCTCACAGACCCCAACTCACAGTTCAGACCCCATCTCACAGACCCCATCTCACAGACCCCATCTTCAGACCCCAACTCACAGGCTCCATCGTGATTAACATACTCACTCCCTATTGCACATCATATTGGGATCCACAAGGAGGATGCCATGGGCCACGATGTCCAGGTGGCCAGTCAGCCCAACTCGGCGGTACTGCTCTGCACTCACACGTTGGTGGTAATGGCGGCGGCGGCTCCTACACAAAAGCCTGGTGGAAGAACTCCGTCTTGCAGGCCCTGCGGAACTGTAAAAGGTCCCCTCTGTGTTTAAACCCTTATTGAAATCCCACTTGAGGCAAAATAGCTTTCAAAACAGAAATAATATTCTATTTGAACAGGCAGGGAATATATATATACATACATATATATATTTGGAGATTGTAAAGGTTTAGAAAGGCTGAGGTAAAACTTCATACTATATAGAGATTTGAAAACTTAGATCATACAAAAGAATATTGTTGTGGCTTATTATCAGAGTTTCAGGATCTTTTCAATGGGACGTGCTTTGCTTAGTATATTTCAGCACTCACACAGGTTCTTAATACTGAATAGCATTTGCTTATAATTTCTAGAGTTCTCCCTTCAGAGTCCGAGGTTTTCACTAACTCCTGAAGTGTCTACAGTTCTCCCCTTTATCACAGACCAGGGTTCTCTTCCCAACGCCTTTCACTGGCAGGAAGTTATTTTCTTTGTCCCTGAGAAGTAGTAACTCCTTTTACTATTTGGCTTGTATGGGAGTTTTCTCTAACTACCCAGACCTGCCAAATCCTTCTCCAGTATCCATTGTCTGTATAAAGCTGTTCTGTAGCTTTCTTGACTGAGAATTTAGAATTCACTGACTCCCAAAGTCTTGTCCCTCAGAAGCCAAACCCTCTGGCTACTGATCCAGATGTTAGATTTCAGACAAAGACCAAAAGGTGAATGAAACTTTACCCTCCAGATCAGCTGCTTTATTTCCTCTCTAAGCTGACGCTGGCCAATCAGAGAGTGAGTAGAGCAGCCAGTCACATAAACTCTTCTCTCCAGGGAAGATTAACTCTTGAACTCCCTGACTCTCTGACATGAGCAGCATTTTTAAAAGCCTGCTTTTCTTTGCAGTCCGTCACACTGTGTTAAAATCATTTGGCCCAGGGTGCAGATTGGCCAAAGCCTGCCATGCTTACTGGATCCTGTAATTGCCCACCTGCCATAGCATTACTATATTTCACTGCAACAGTAGATCTGTAAATCTTAACAAAATTATTTTAAAATATTCACATACAATGATCACAAGCTCAGACAAAGTAGTATGGGGAAGTTTCAAAACAGACTCTGAGCTATTTTTATTCCTGCTTCTCCCTTCCCTCTGCTTGCCCTTTTAGTTCCTTTTCTATTGTTTGTCATTGTAACACGGTGCACATTGTCCAAAAATAGTCTCATTTTATGGTTATGTGTTGTCACTCTGTAGAATGCCTTCATGAAGTGGAGTCCTTGTCCCTATTCACTGCAATTATTTCTTCTGCCATAACTTCATCTAAGCTTGAGCTAAGCTAGGTGGACAAGGGGAAAATTAACACTAAGTAATAAATTGGGGGGAAATCCACTCGGTATATTTGAGGAAACTGAATGTATGGCATTTTTGGACAAAGGGACTCTAAATTAACTTTGTAGTGCTCATTTGTTATAATTTTTCTGTTGTCAAGGAATAAATGATACATGAACCTCTATGTGTAACTCTGACTGCATTCACATGAACAAAAGCTGAGATTGTTAGGTAGTCTTCTTAGAGTTACTGTGAAATGCAGGATCTCTTTACTATTCACAAACTGCACTTTTTTTGCTCCAGCAACACACTGTATGGCCAAAACCATGGCCATACAGTGCGGAAAATCTACAACTAACACACTGAGCTTCTAATAGGACTAGCATAGCCATTTGCAAGTACCAGCTTTTAGTTCTTAAAATCTTTGCAGTTTGTATTCTGGTTGCTCATTTTTCTTTGTTCAAGTAACTTTCAACATTTCTTATGCCAAACGTCTTGACCGAGCCTCAATCAGTAAGGATCTCTTCTTCACTCCCACACCTCAGCTTCAGCTTCTCCAGTCCAATGCAATTCAAAATATCATCGACCTTGTGTGATAATATGAGAAAACAAGAGAGAGCTCATGTTCACAAAGCTTGCCTCAATTAAGTTCAAATAACACAGATTCCCTCCCATTGTGAGTAGATCCCAAGAAAACGTGCTGTAGGAAATACCAATTCAGGGATTACATGCCAGTGTTCCAGAAAGCATTTTTCAAGCCAGACATTATCTACAGCAAATTTTTGACATGCAGATCTTAGCTGTCTTTGATTCTTATAATACATTGTCTGAGGACTTGTGGTAGGAATGACTCACTGATAGAGCAAATTTTTGAATGGAGAGCAAATGTTTGAATGGACCCTTGGAGACATCCACTTTGAACGTTGAGATTCTTCCCAAAGCAAACTCCTCCTACGGCATAACACTTTCTACTTCACACCTCTGAAGCTTATTCTAAATTCAGCTTATTCTAAATTCTCAGTCAAGCAAAGAATTTGAAGAAAAAATCCTTATGATACACTAAGAAACAGAAAGGCAAAGAATTTGAAGAAAAATCCTTATGATACACTAAGAAACAGGTTTATAATCTTCAGTGATGTAAGTCAGTGCCACCTAGACCATGCTGGTTCTCAACCATTCATATCTTATGTCCCACCCATCACTCTGTCAAAGAACCTGGGCCCCACCATGATAGAAAGAAAAGGCATTTATTTGTTTAGAGGCAATCCATTGTTCCATTTATGAGTTACAGTACGT